ATAGTAAGCGATTGAAAAATGAGTAATTGTTTCGTAATTGCGTATAGTTTTCAACGTTTGTCTAATGCAAGTATTACTTTAGCCTTAAAATGACTCATTTCAGTATTGACAATAGAAAGAACAGTAGAATTCAAGCTGCAGGACTAGTTATTTCAAGGCTTACTTTATTGGAGCGGTCGGTCGTGCATGTCGCTCATCGCGTAGCTTATTTGTCAAATACTCCCATTTGAAAACAAGATTCCATTCAAAACCTGTATGCAACGGAACAGAATCAGAAACGCAAAAGTATACCGCACATACAACACGTAATCTCAGCAAACTTCAAGAGATGAGGAGAGGCTTGTGCACAATAAGCTGGTAGGCAGTCAAGAAAACTCGTTTTCGACTGATTTTCTAAGGATCCGCTGAGTAAGCCGATGTGCATGAAATTATGGCGGGACGCCTGCTTTCTAAAAGCCGATAGAATTAGTCAACCTCCGCGCAGATCGGCACTGGCAGCCACGTATTTGAATGTATCCTTGTTGATCACGTCAATAACAGGAGCAACAACGGCCCGAGGATTTTCGACAACTCGTGCAAGCATCGGCTCCAGCCAATTCACGTTACATTCGCAGTGACTATCCAGAAATGTCAAAACTGCACCGTTCGCCAGTGCTGCTCCCTTCACACGCGACCGGATCAAACCTGTAATTCTTCATCCACTACTAATGATGCTGCTTCTTTCATCCATTCCTCAGTTACATTTCAAAGGCTGACCCGAGACATTGCAAGCATTAAGCGGATGCAAGCAAGAATTTTTTTTTTTTTTTGAGAAAGAAACTAGTTTTTCTTGTACGTTCGTCTGTTTCAGTTCAGATTTTTGCTTTGGAAATTAGCTAAGTTGGTCCCCGAGTTGAAATCATCCAAATTCAAATAAAATGCTCGCCAAAACGATTAAAAAAAAATCGACCGTAAATGATTTTAGGCTCGACAAAAAGGACCTTTCGGTGGACAACTTTTATTCCAAAAACGCGTCAATAGGTAGAGAGCTCATACAAACCTAGCAAAAAAAGAAAAAACGCTACATTCAGAACCCACATACCTTCACGCTTTGTATTCCTTATAACAACGACTTTTTCCATTGGTAACAAATCCTTTCCTATAGTTGCTGAAATACCACTAATAATTTATCCAGCATTCCGATACGAGAGATATTTTTGAGAATCAATTTGCAGGAAGCTGAGTCAATGACTTATTTTTTTCCTTGCACTGAGTCGGAAATGAATGAGTGCCGAGCTTGAAATTCCCATTAAACGCAACTTCTCACTCAACACTCATTGTATAACTCGTGCAGCGCTTCAATGCAGCAGTTAACCATTTCTTGTGCATTGTCCTGTAATCTGGGTCAGAGCTGCACTAGAAAAAAAATGTTTCTAGTAACTCTAAGCGATGTTCTACAAATGAGTCTCGGGCACTTCCATGAAAATCTTCGTAAAATTTTCACTGGTAGCGCTGTAGCAATCTCTTATCTTTGGCATTCAAAGCTGTCTCTTATGCCGCTACATGCAGATTAAAAGACAAAAATACTTGCCGTCAGTGGAGAAGTCATCCACAAGGATGATTTCGGAAATTAGCTCCGGCGGCGACCGTAAAAAGACACTGACAACAGTACGGAGAAGCGTGGAGCGTGCTTCGTTGTGGTATGTTATAATAACTGATGTAGGCGGAAGCGCGCGTGAGTCGTACTTTATCGTGCGACACCTAAAACGGCTAAACCTTAAAAAAAAAAAAGGAAAAAAAAGTCTGCAGGACAATTCGGCGAAATAAGCGACTGCAAAGCTAGTGGGCAGATGACCAAAGAGAGAAGTGAGTTCTAGGAACCTTGCTTCCCGAGAATCGATTACATCACGATCCCACTTTGTCGCATCACTGGCTGCTTGATTGAATTTATTTGCAGCGTATCTATAAATAACCAAACTATGCTCGATCGAACTGGAATTGTTGCAGTGAATTTATCTCACCGAACCAAAGAACGAGAAGATAATTCGTAAGAGAATTTTATGCACAGCATGATCAATGTCAAAGGCAGCCATAAATTCCACTCAAGATCGATTCGCAGCAAAAACCCATTCAAAAGGAACTCAGTCAGCACCGAATAACAATGTCCGCCAGAAATTTTAGTTCATAACACAAGCGTTCAACAGGGGTCTCAAGCAGCACAAAAGCTGCCCACTTTCCAGCAGATTCGTTTTTCTATCCGTATGAAATGCAAACAAAATTACTCGATATGCGACAGTAAAAATGCAGAGAGTAAGCACTTCTCGGTATCTGCAAATAGCCTATGTTCAACAATAAAATT